TTTTTTTTTTTTCTTTTCTCTTTTCTTTTGCTACAAGAAGTTTCATTGTTTCCATTTGGTCAGGGGTGGTTAAAAGCTGCCTAGAGGCTGCAGGGAAAAGTAAGCTCAGGCTGAAACCTCAACGTGAGCAGGATGCATAGAAAGGAGGTGCAGGGTCCCCTTCTTGTGCTTGACAAGGGGAGGAGCTACCCGCCTAGCCCAGCCTGGGGGCGGTCAGGCCAGCCCGAGGAGGTGGGCCAGCTGGTTACCGTCTTCTTGAGGAGTTTCACCTGCCCCTCTGGGACATGGTTCTCGGGATTCCCAGAGGTGGGGCCTGTGCTCGTGGGACCCAGGGCAAGCGGATCCAGAAGGAGCTGGTTCAGCTTCTCATCCAGAAGCGTGGAAGCTTCCGTGGCGTGGCAGGCTTCACCTCTCCCATCTCGGGATGGCCTCTGCGCCTTCTGGAACAGGCGCATCAGCTCCGCTGGGTTTGTGACTTCGAGAGACGCTGGACACCCTCACGCTTCTCTGCCAACTGGGAGGAGAAGTGGCCCAGCCCTCCGGAGCCGCATCAGTGCATCCAGGTAGAAGCCCGGAGAGACAGGTGTAGGAGGCGTGCAGGTGCAGGTTGATCAGGCAGTTGACGGTGGCCTCCACAGCGGTGGAATGATTCTGACGAATCTGGGAGCTCGTGGTTGGTCAGCAACAAGGAGCTAAGCCCGGTAGACGCTGTGGGCGGGTCCCGGAGGCAGGGCACGGCTGACAGGATGATTCCAAAGATTGCATCGGGGAAAGAGGTAGGAGGGTGCTGGGAGACTGGAAGAAGCAGGTTGGCACTGGGTCTGTTCCCTGCACAAGGTGTTGAGGCCGGAGACAGACCCAGGGGCTGCTGGGCGCGCTGCCCGGACGGAGTTTTTATGGTGTCCTTCCTTGTGATTTTCTTACCATCTTCTCTCTAGTTTCCTTTATTGCCAGAATACAACGTATAACGTATATAACGTAAAACGTACGTGTTCATGGACAGTTTGGGGTATCTGTAAGGCTTCCAGGCAAGAGTAGCTGTTAATAGTTACGTTTTTAGGGAGTCCAAAGTTATATGCGGATGTTTGCCTGCGTGGGGGTTGGCGTCCCTCACTCCCACGTTGCTTAGGGGTCAACTACCTGTATGAATTGGCTATAAAGAACGTTTTCCATTCCTCACCACGAAGGGAAGGAGAACCCACAGGGAGTTTGCAATTATTCCTGTGGCTCCTGAAACTTCCAGGCGACTGGCACGGGCCCCCAGTGTGAGAAACCCTTCTCCCCTCTGGCCTCACTCTTCTCCAGAAACAAAACTGGGATCCGGCGTCTTGAGGCTTGCAGAAATCCCACGGCTCGGGAGGGGAGAGCTGGGGGGAGCCAGCCCACCTGGTCCAAAGCCCTTCTCTCGCCTCCTTTGCTGCCTCCCCAGCCACACCTGCTCCTTCACCGGGAACGGGGACTAAGGACTGGGAATAAAACGCCAGGAAATCCAATGCTTTCTCTGCAGGCACGAGGGCTTATCCTGAGAGCTCAGGAGATCTGGTGGAGAACTGTTGTGTTGGGTTAAGGAGCAAATGGGTTTTAAAAAATCTTTGCAATCAGCCGGGAGAACAAACAGAAACAGACGCTCCCACACAGTCAGCGTGAAGGTGTCTGAAAATTACAGACACTTCACCGATGTTCCCAGAGGCTGGACTCTCATTTCGTGTTGCAAAGGGACGTCACAACCGGGCGACAGTGTGGGTAACGGTGCCTCCAGCCGGACCCTGCTTACATGCCATGTGGCCCCCAGCGTCCCTGCGGAAGCCTCTGTGTCCACGTGTGTGTTCACGTATGGGGGGGGCATAAGAGGTGGGAGGGGAAACTTGCATCGACGTGTCAGTGAGTAATGGGTAGGAAGTTTTGTCATCACATGTCCTAGAAGGATTTCAGAGGAGACATATACATGTGTGTGACATATATACATGTATACATATACGTATATACGTATGTACATGTATACATCTATATGTATACACACATCAGGTATCACTTTATACAAATGTATACAAAATATTGTTTTGGGGGCGCCTAGGTGGCTCCGTCAGTTAAGCATCTGATGTCAGCTCAGGTCATGATCTCAAGGTCTGTGAGTTCGAGCCCCATGTCAGGCTCTGTGCTGACAGCTCAGAGCCTGGAGCTGGCTTCTGATTCTGTCTCCTCTCTTTCTCTACCCCTCCCTCGCTCATGCTCTCTCTCTCTCAAAATTAAACAAACATTAAAAAAGTTTTCAATATTGTTTTTATATTTGATGTCGTGTAGTTTTATTATGTTATAATTCATAACATTATGTAGTTTTTTTCCTTAAATACAGAAAACTGTAGCACCTAGAATGTTCCTTTCGTCTCAATTTCCTTTTTAATTCAGATTTTGGAAGGACTTCACTTGCCCATGCATGACTGGCTGGGCTAGGAGAGGGGGTTGGTGGAGCCCAGCGTGGGGCCGAGTGGGATGGGGTGGGGTTCACTGTCCCTGTCACCTGGGGGTCGGCCTGCATTTCAGGAAGTGCAGATGCCCTCTAGTGGCCGGTGGACGACACTGGCGAGAAGGACGCGGGGAACAGGTGCAGTTTGTTACTTTGATTATTATTTTGACCTCTAAATCGATGCCATCCCCCCCCCCTTTTGTGTGGATAGTTGCCTGGAATCTGCCGAAGGAAAGCGAATGACACAAAAATATGAAGATCTGCTCTCACTGCTCGACAAGTAAGCGGCTTCTGGCATCGTATTGTTCTGCAAATGGCATAGCCACCCCCGGCCTCCCTCCCCGCCCCCGTGATGCCTTCTGTGGTTACCGGTTTCACGTAGATTCCTCAGTGGCTGTGCAATGTCACTGTTTTAGGATGTAAACCACGGTGTCTGTGAGTCCAGCGCTTCTGGGTCTCTGGGGAACGCGGCTCTGTTCTAGGAACAGACGCTTTCCAGGGTAGTTCGGTTGGGAGCATGGACTTGGCGGAGCCGGAGGAAGTAGGGCGCTCCTCGGGACACCGGGAGATCGGTGTCCCAGGAAATCACAGCAGCCACTCGCGAAGCAGAAAGCAACGGTTTGTGCTGCGCAAAGAGAAAATAAGTTTTAAAAGTACTTCCTGCGTCCTCTTACGGAGAAAACAGAAGAATGACAGTTCACACGGACTCTTAGTTCCTGCTCTAAAGCTGCGGTTAAGTCTTGTGGTTCAGGTTGTGATGCCCGCAGTCTCAGCAAATCCGGTGATGTCACCGCATGCCTGGGCTGGGGAGCCCTTCAGTGCCTCCCACTGGCTCTTGTCACTTTCACGTGACCCGAAAAGCCCTCGCTGTGGCCTTTGCCTCCCTCTCCAGCCTCGTCCCTTCCCCCCTCCGGCCTTAGCCGTTCCCAGATCACACTGCATGTGTCTCTTCTCTGCCCTGTGGTGGTGCTGATGCTTCTGCTGGGGGACATCCATTTCCCTTTCACTCTCCTACCTGTGCCCATCCTTTGAGACTCCGTCAAGCCTCGCCTCAGCCCCTCTTCCATGCAGCCTTCCTGGCATTCTCCTTATCACACTCTCATCCCCGCCACTAGATGCCCGATGCCCGGTACATCTCTCCAGGGTTGTACTTCCGTATTTTCCGTTTACCCGTGGTCCAGGGCCTTAGCTCCATTTACCGTGGGGTGTTTATTCATCACGTTTTCAGTCATCGGGTAACGGCTGAGCGACGGATGTCTGAGCTGCGTGAAGATTAGGGTGAGAGCAAATCTTGCCCAATAACTTCTTCCCGTGGTTAATGAGACTAATCACAACTCCCTTTATCTCCTCTAAAGATTGCATGGAGCCTCTCGACCAGGTTCTCATTTCAGCTGTGCTACCTTTTGAAAGCCGAGTCAATGACTTTGACCTAAGAACGTAGCCAGGCATTTTACTGATGGTACCTTCAGTTTTTGCTATAGATGTGCACATATACCTATGTAGATATCTAGGTCATATACACATTAATAGATCTCTGTCTTTAGCGGGTCATTGCCGGGCGCTGGGAGGGTGCTTCAGAGGTGACTGTTGTCTCTGGTCCTCGCAGGTACGAGACGAAGCTTTATGAAGACTGGTGTCAGGCTGTGTCGGAGAAGTCACAGTACAATCTTTCCCAGCCGCTTCTGAAACGTGACCCAGAGACGAAGCAGATCGCCGTCAACTTTAACCCACAGGTAAGGCAGCAGGAATTTCCTTGTGGGTTCCTGAAGAGACTCCTTTAACTCTGCTGATTTCAAAGGCAACAGAGGCGTTTTATAAGAAATTGCAGAAGCTGCCCGAGAGAATTTCCACCCCGGATCTCCCTTTTCGGGATGAATCCCGCGGTGCGTTGTTTCCTTACGTTGTCCAGTGTCCTCATTTTTCTCCGTGGTTGGTCAATACGTTTGTGTCAATTTTGCACAACAGAAAATACAGCAGAATATGTTTTTAACTTTCATAGTTGGGTGATAACAGCTTTGTTATGAACTCGACTCCACATACAAAGTTAGAACGGTAATTGTGTTCAAGATAAACTCATCCAGGGGCGCCTGGGTGGCTCAGTCGGTTGAGCGTCCGACTTCAGCTCAGGTCATGATCTCACGGTTCGTGAGTTCGAGCCCCGCATCAGGCTCTGGGCTGATGGCTCAGAGCCTGGCGCCTGCTTCCGATTCTGTGTCTCCCTCTCTCTCTGCCCCTCCCCCGTTCATGCTCTGTCTCTCTCTGTCTCAAAAATAAATAAACATGTAAAAAAAAATTTTTTTTTAAAAGATAAACTCATCCAAAAGTTTACATATCCTATTCTAGGTGTGCACCACCTGGAATTCGAGAAAGTATTTAAATAGGTAACAGGTATTGCTACGCCTGCCCTCAAGGAACCCACCAGCTAGTTGGGAGCTAGGACCTCAACATGCAAAAGTCTACCTTTATTAGATTATATGTGATAAATCTCCTTGGAGTAGCTTTGGAAATAAGACTCTAGATTACTGGTTCTCACCTGGGGCAATTTAGTCCCCTTGGAGATATTTTGGGTTGTCCGTCATGGACTGGGTGCCAATGGTGTAGGATGAGCAGATTCTTAAGGATGCAGCTAAACTTCCCATGACACTCAGGATGGCACCCCACAAGCAAGAGTTTTTGTCTGAAAATGTCAGGAGTGCTGAGATTGAGAGCCCCTGCTCTAGGCGATCAGAAGAGTTGAAGACCACCGTGGGCTGTAGCAATGTGGAAAACTTCATGCCAGAGAACGTGATAACCAAAAGCCAGCCCATATCAGGAAGTATATCGGAAAAAAAAAAAAAAAAAAAAAAAACCAACTTAAAAGCATAGGCCATGCTGAGCTAAACGCAGTCACTGACTTCTGTATCAATGGCATGTTCTCGAGGTAGAGCCGGAAACTAAGCTGATAGCATGTGAGTGTCTTTTGAGAAAATTACAGTTTAAATAGAACATCGACTCTGACAGCGATCAGAGTCAACAAAGGGGGTTGGAGGGTCCATTTCTTCACTTTGGTAGCACATAAGCCTGTCGTTTGACTCATTTAACTCCTTGGCATAATTTTATCGGCATTCACCGTGAGCAATATTGATTGTTAAATGCCCAAACAGAGGAGGGACTGGGTTACCCACGAAGCCACAGTCCAGAGGTTATAACTGTAGGAATGAAGCCCTCAGGACGAGACAGTTTTGAGGATGGACCACTCTTCCTCTGTATACGCCAGAGCAAGGACTCTTTCTCTCTCCTAATGTGCAGCACATAGTAGGCACTTTCGAAGTGTTCATAGGTGATAGAAGGAAAGAGCAGAGAGTGAAAGAGAAGAAAGGGGGAGAGGGAATACCTGAATTATAAAGTGAGTTAAGGGGAGACAACCAAACACAAGTCAAAGAGGAGCTGTATGTGTCCCTGTTTCCAGCTTTGAGCAACATGACAGTGGCCGTGCTAGTAAGAATGGACAGTAACACGTGTATCATTCTAGAGGGACATGATCAGATCTGCCCCTCTGGGGCCAGAAAAAAAAAATTCTTTTGCAAATTATTTAAAGTGTTTTAGGGGCGCCTGGGTGGCGCAGTCGGTTAAGCGTCTGACTTCAGCCAGGTCACGATCTCGCGGTCCGTGAGTTCGAGCCCCGCGTCGGGCTCTGGGCTGATGGCTCAGAGCCTGGAGCCTGTTTCCGATTCTGTGTCTCCCTCTCTCTCTGCCCCTCCCCCGTTCATGCTCTGTCTCTCTCTGTCCCAAAAAATAAATAAATGTTGAAAAAAAATTTTTTTTAAATAAATAAATAAATAAATAAATAAAGTGTTTTAAATGCCCTATTATGGGATATTGAAATTATTTTCTCGTTTTATCAATCTGTATTTCACTGATCGAAAGATATACTTTTTCTTTTTTTGTTATGTCTTCGCATCTCTGAAAATGGCACGTGTTTATAGTTTAACCGCATTTTTCTTCCCTAGTTGGAAATGAAATAATAGAGAATCTTAACATTGAAGCATGTTGGAAAGAAATAAAATACAGTATAAATAAAGCTACAGGAAACATTCTTAGTTATTGTTGTGCCCGTCCTCGATGATTTATGTGGGATAAAGGCCTGGAAATGGGGTAAAGGGTGTTCACATTGTGAGGATTCACATATACATCATCAATTGGTTCTTCAGGAAGATGGAACTCGGTCATATCTCTTCCAGGAAGATATCCATTTCTTCAAATCACCCCTAGCCTGTTGAACTAAATATAGTTCTCAACATTGTTTTAATTTGTATTTATTTGGCCACTAGTAAAGTAGAACCTTCTCATCTGTTCATTGGCCAGTCATAGTTCTTCTACAAATCACTTGTTCGTGTCTCTTGCCCACTTCGGAGTGGAAGTGCCCTCTTTTCCTGTGAATTTGTTAGAATATTTGGGAAATATTTGTCCCATATTAAGAAATCCATTGCATATGTTTCAGACCTGTTGAAATGTGCCGTTTTATTACGTGAACGATATTTAATGCCTGCAACCTTTTATATTTTATTTTCCGGTTGTATGTTTGGAAGGGCCTTCTCCACCTCAGTATTATATAAGTAGCCCTGATGTTTTAATTTTCTGTTTTCAGTTTTTACACTTAAATTTTTAATATCCGTCTTGAGCTTATTTCAAACAAAGTAGGAGACTGAAGCCATTTCCCCACCAGATGGTTAGCATTTGCCTTCATCCTGAGTAGGGTGGGCCGCAGCGGAGCACTGACCCAAGAGCCACTGTGAGGAGAGCTGGGAGCCCAGGTGTCTCCATCCAAAGGGGAGGGGAGTGGGAGGCGGGTGGGAAGTATCTCTGGGGTGTTTTGTTGCCCACACTAATACACATCTGTCCTCGTGGGTTCAGAGGTAAACGCAATAAATAGCGAAGACCGCAATACCTAGCAACCCAGCCAGAGGTCTCTTTTTCCATTGGCCCACGTCTGCTTCGCCTCTCACCCTTCAGTTCCACTGAACTCCGTGCCCACAGACGTTCAGAGAGGCCTGGGTGACACAAAGGCGTGCCGGCACAGGCTCACAGAAACGAAGGGCTGTTTCCAATGGTTCCATTTAACAATTAAACTCGTACAATAGCATCTCCTCTCAGTTCTGTCCGTGTCTGTGTGTGCGTGACCTCATTGGGGTGAGCCCGTCACTGCATCAGCCATGTGCCCGAAAGCATCAGGGTAATCTGTCCAGCGTTGTTTTTGTTACTCTTTGGGATTGACGGACTTGACGGACTTGGTAAGCCTTGCTGCGTCTGAGTCCTCTGCTTTCTCAATTTCAAAACTCAGTTTCCCTTCTCTAGACGGAAGGAGCAGGTAGGAGCAAACGTTACGAAGGGACCCGTTACGAAGGTCTTTGGGCTCCTGGGGTTTTCTAGTCCTTGACTGATGATTGCCACCCTTTACTGCCACGGAGCTGTAACCACTTTAATGCCAATTTGCTCTTCCAGCTGACTTCAGTGCTGAAGGAAATGAGTTATCTTGAATCGAGGCAGATGCGACATGTTCCTCAGACAGCAGCAGCCATGTTCTCCTCCAGGGAATTCTATCGGCAGCTCGTGGCGAAGTTGGAACTGATGGCGAATTGGTACAACAAGATTATGAAAACTCTTGTAGAGGTGGAATTGCCATTGCTGGAGAAAGAGCTGGGGAATATCGATCTCTGCCTGAAAGCTGCAGAAGAGACTCTGAACTGGAAAACGGAAGGTAGCAGGGCACTGCCTGGAATCTGGGGAGGGGGTTGGGGGTCAGGATCCTGATAAAGTTGGTAGAACTTGAATGACTCCCCCAGTAACCGGATTTGAGCTTGAAACACAAGCCTAGCCTCTGAGACATGTATCCAAAGCAGAGAAGGCAAGAATTCCTTTTCTTCCTTCTCTTTGGATATGATTGGTAGACTGAGAAGATGTTGCCACCACCTCGTTTGGGGAGGCTCAGGGTTTGTGTGACATACCCTGAGGTCTCCAACATATATTGGGCACTCCGTGAATGAGGGCTTTTCTTATATTATCACTGTCACTTAATTTTTGTCACTAAAATATAGACACCTTTTTTTAAAACTTTTTTTTTATTTATTAAATAATCTTCACCCCCAACATGGGGCTCAAACTCATGACCTTGAGATCAAGAGTCCCATGTCCCACCGACTGAGCCAGCCAAGCACCCCTAGATTGTAGACATCTTAAGTGAGGGTACCATGATTTATTTCTTGTGTTTCTTCCAATTCAGTACTTTCATTGATGGATTAACTTTTGCAGGGTACTATGTAAGGGACCTCAACAGCACTTGGAATATGAGGTGTATGGGACGTGGCTCCTACCCTCAAAGAACTCACGTTTAGTGGGACCAACAGACATATGTACAACCATAAATCACCCAAGACAGGCTATGATAAAAAGCCTTCACAGAGTTAAAAATAAAGTGTGCCAAATCACAGGGGAGGGAGATTAATTCTCATTAGAGTCCTCAAAAGAGTTCATGTTTGCAAAGGAGGTCACCATCAACTCACAGAAGTCTTGGAACGCCATATTAAACGAGTTAGAACTTTATTTTATGTGCAAGAGGGAGCAATGTTTTCAACGTTTTTTTTTTTTAATTTTTTTTTAATGTTTATTTTTGAGACAGAGACAGAGCACGAATGGGGGAGGGTCAGAGAGAGAGGGAGACACAGAATCGGAAGCAGGCTCCAGGCTCTGAGCTGTCAGCACAGAGCCCGACACGGGGCTTGGACTCACGGACCGCGAGATCATGACCTGAGCCGAAGTCGGCCGCTTAACCGACTGAGCCACCCAGGCGCCCCTGTTTTCAACATTTAATGAGGCGAAAGTGCTTTTCAGAAGGTCCATAACCCAAGTACAATCATGATGGTGCACTGGTGTGCCCCAGCAACTATGACGATTTCTGTGCACTTGGTTGGTAAGCATTACCTCCTCGTTTCTTTTCCTCCATAAGCAGGGTGATGGTAAACATTGGCTTTTCAACACAGCCAGGAAGAAAAAGACTCCGGTGCTAACAAAATAACTTGTGCAAGAAAGCCTTTTGAAACCTACAGATATTAAATCCGTACCTTCCGTAGCGACTAGACCTTTAACTCTTTCAATTAAATGTATTTCTTTTGGGGAGCAGGCATTTGGGATTATGTCATTCAAATCACCGACAGCGTTCATGATCTCGAACAAAGGATTCAGAAAGCCCAAGACAACGTGGAAGAGATTCAAAACATCATGAAAACATGGGTGTCTCCGATATTTAAGAGAAAAGATGGAAAAAAGGAATGTCTCCTTTCCATGGATGACCAGCGCAACCGGATGGAAAAATACTACGATCTCATCAAAGAATCTGGACTTAAGATTCATGCCCTCGTTCAGGTAATAACCAGCCTGTCGGATGCGCCTACCACTAGCAGAGGGAAAGCGTCAGGAAGTGTTTGGATGCAGTAAGTGATTTGAAAATTAGAACGCTCAACAGATCCCGTGACTTCTGCATTCAGGGTAGAAGTTTATAGTGCGAGCGAGAGAACTAAAGCTAACAGATCGGTAGAGAGAAAAGTCACATTCTGGTACCAGTGTGTCAAAATTAATACTGTCGTAACGGTGTCACCGCATGACCTAAGTCCCACGCCAAACCCCGAGGACCTAGAAGGAGATGCCAAGTACAGAACCCTAGAGTCCGTAATGGATCAGAGTTGCTATTTTTGATTAGCTGTGGTTTGAATCACAGCATGCTGTACTTTGACTCTGTTAATTTTATTTATCTGTTTTCTAATTCATTAATTTCTTTGTTTTTAAGTTTTATTTCTTGATTTTGAGAGAGCAAGAGAGAGAGCACGATCAGGGGAGGGGTAGAGAGGGGGTGGAGAGGGGATCCCAAGCAGGCTCTGCACTGTCAGCTCGGAGCCCGACTCGGGGCTCGAACTCACAAACTGCGAGATCGTGACCTGAGCCAAAATCAATAGTCGGACGCTTAACCAACTGAGCCGCTGAGGCGCCCCTCTAGTTCATTAATTTCTGTTCTTTGTGCTTTATCCTTTCTTTCCTTAATTTGAGGTTGTTCTCCCCTTTTCATTCTCCCCCTACCCGCCAAGGGCAGAAACTTAGGGTATTGATTCTAAGCCTTTCTTCTTTTCTGATACAAGCATTTGATGTAATTTTCTCTCTTAGCTGTACTTTAGTGGCATTCCACAAATTTCATGTGCCTCATTTGCATTGTCATTCACTCTTAAATTTTTCTGCTCGTGACTCATTGTTTAATGGTCATTTGGAAGCACACTGTTTCGTTTCCATATGTTCAGGGCTTCTCTGGATAGCTTAGTGAAATCGACCTTGAGTTCAGTCCAGTTGTGGCCAGAGAAAGTACTCTGTAAGATCCAAATCATTTGGAATTCACCAAAACTTGTTCCATGACCTAGAATACTGTCCCATCTTCCTGCACATTCCTTGTACACTTGACAATGCCTTCATTCTTCCATTGTTGGGTGTAGTGCTCTATGAATCTCCGTTAAAGTTCAAAGTGGTTGATACTGTTGTTCAGATCCTCTGTATGGTTTCAGGATTTCTTGTCTGTCTGTTCTACCAATTACCGAAAGGGCCGTGTTAACATCTCCGCCTGTGACTTTGGGTGATTTGACTAAACCTTTAGTGCGGTCCGAGTTTTCATCAAGTTTGTGATGCTCTTTTAATACAGACACATTTATAATATCATGACTTTCTGATTCCTTCTCTTATAGACAGTATAGTAGAAACTTACTTTCCTAACAACTCTGCCTATTAACTGGGTTGTTTAGACTATTACGGTTAGTGTAATTATGGCTGTGCTTGGATTTAGCCCTACCATCTGGCTATTTCCTGTTTGTTTCATCTCTGTTGTGTTGTTCTGCTCCTCTGTTCCTTCCTTCTTGTTATTTGCTATTTTTTTTTTTTACTTAACGTTTATTTATTATTGAGAGATAGAGACAGAGCATGAGCATGGGAGGGGCAGAGAGAGGAGGAGACACAGAATCTGAAGCAGGCTCCGGGCTCTGAGCTGTTAGCACAGAGCCCGACGTGGGGCTCGAACTCACAAACCGCGAGATCATGACCGGAGCTGAGGTCAGACACTCAACTGACTGAGCCACCCAGGCGCCCCTGTTATTCTCTATTTTTAAAAATATCCTAATCTGATTTCTCAATGGGTATTCCATCTTTTACTTTAATGATGCTGTCATTGCATTACATTTGCAATGGTTGTTGTGGGTTATAGGTCTCTAATTACAATCAGTGATTGTTTTCCCATGAAATATAGGAACGTAGCCACAGTATGGTTCAATTCAAACACCCCCGTTCATCTTTGGTACTGTTGGGGTGTGTGTGTGTGTGTGTGTGTGTGTGTGTGTGTGTGTGTGTGTAACAAATCCCACACTAAATCCCAGGCCTTGTAGAGTAGTCTATATTTTTGCCTTAAAAACTCAAGAAAAGGGACTCCTGGGTGGGTTAGTCGGTTAAGCGTCTGACTTCAGCTCAGGTCATGATCTCACGGTCTGTGAGTTTGAGCCCCACACTGGGCTCTGTGCTGACAGCTCGGAGCCTGGAGCCTGTTTCCGATTCTGTGTCTCCCTCTCTCTCTGCCCCTCCCCCACTCATACTCTGTCTCTCTCCATCTCTCAGAAATGAATAAACGTTAGAAAAAAACTCAAGAAAAAAATACTTCTGGTGTTTTAGATCCACCCACATACTCGCCATTTCCAGACTTGTTTTTTTTTCCCTCTTCTGTAAAACTGACTTGCCACCTGTAGTCATTTCTCTGCAGCCTGAAGAACTCCATTCACTTTTTCTTGCAGTTCCAGTCTGCTAACGACACATTCTCTCAGTTTTTGTGTATCTGAGATGTCCTTGTTTCACTTCTGGTCTTGACGGATAGTTTCATTAGATATAGAATTCTGCATAGACGGTTTTATTTTCCCTACAAAAGTTATTTCCTTGTCTCCTCCCCTCCAATGTTTCTGATGCGAAGCCAGCTGCATTTGGTGTCTTTGCTCCTGTATATGCAGAGTATTGTTTCTCCCAGGCTTCTTTTAATAGATTCTTTTTTTAAAAAATCCTTGGACTTCTTTTTTCTGCCTCACTACAATGTGCCTAAATAGGTTTATTTTCTGTTCACCCAGCTTGGAGTATGTGGGCTTATTGAACCTGTTTTTCATTAAATTTGAGGAGTTTCTTTTTTCTCTTTTTAATTAAGAAAAAATTTTTAAATGTTTTATTTATTTTTGACAGAGAGAGAGACATGGAGCATGAGCGGGGGAGGGGCAGAGAGAGAGGGAGACGCAGAATCCGAAGCAGGCTCCAGGCTCCGAGCCATCAGCACAGAGCCCGAGGCAGGGCTCGAACTCGTGAACCGTGAGATCGTGACCTGAGCCAAACAAAGTCGGCCGCTTAACCCACTGAGCCACCCAAGCGCCCCAAATTTGAGTTTCTAATCAAATTATGCCATGCTTGTCTCCTGATTCTAACATCCGTTTTATTTTCTGCGTCTGTTTTTGTTTTTAATGTGACAGAAGTTCCTTTTTGTCTCCATGAAACAAGTCTTAGGAACAGGCATCCCCGGATTGGTATGGCGGCTATTTGCTGAGTATGTTGTTGGTGACTGTTTCCTCTCTCGGTTACACTCTCCTGCTTCTTTGCGTGTCTAGTGATTTTTTTGTATTATATCTTAGTCATGTCGGATGCCACTTTAGGATCTGAGTGTTAGTCCCCTTAAAGGGTTCGTGTTTTGCCTTGGCAGGCAGTTGACTTACCGGTGGGTCAGCTGGTCCTGCCGAGGCTCGGTTTTAAGCTTTGTGAGGGTGGGTCCGAGGGGGCCTGACTCTAGGACAAAGCAGCTCTAACCCCCAAGCACAGTGTTGCTGGGGGCTCAGCAGAATGTGCCTGGGCTATCTGTAAGATGTCCTCATTTATGTCCGAAGGCACACAGATATTTTCCAGATATATTACCGGATATTCCCAGATATATTACCGCAGGCCCACACAGTCTCCATGCAGCTTCACGGCACCCTGGCAACTGTTCTCCACCAGGCCTCGCAGAGTCTGGCCCTAAGGATGTGCGGCTTACCACCCAGAGACTCCAGAAGATTCGGCAATCTCAGTAGCCCCAAACCCCAACTGCTGGGTGGTCTTCTGCCCATCAGGAAGGACCCTGTCACTGCGGTCTACTTCTCCATGCCATGGTTGGGAAAGTGCCTCTAGGTCGGGAGCCAGGTGGTTTGTGAAACTCACCGCGCACGCGTGTGTGTGTGTGTGTGTGTGTGTGTGTATTTCCCTTATCCCGAGGAGCACAACCCCGTGTTCCTGTTATCTAATTGCCCCCCAAGAATGGTTTCTTGTGCTGCATCTGCCATAGCTGCATCTGTGTCGCGGACGGACAGGTCTGATCTGACCCCTCTGTCTTGGCCAGAGAATCAGAAACTGGAGCCATTTCTTCTTGGTTCACAGAAATTCCAATAGTTTGCCTCCCCCCCGCCCCAGACCATAGTAGATTTGAGGTAAAGAGTCGAAAGGTACGGAGAGCTATACTGAGAGCATGACGTTGAGGAGATAAAACCGTACAAAGCAGTCAGAACTGAACGTTTTACACAATAAAGAAGCAAACAGACATACGGGCTTTCTAATACCCGAGAACAACTCTCTATTGTCACTGTGTTGTGATTTGTGTGATGTTGGGCTTTAAATCATTCAGAAACTCTTCTACCCATAGGAAGGAAAGGGGTATGTTAATGCATTTTGGGAATTTTAGAGTTTTATCATGTAAAGACAGGATCGTGAGACTTTTTTTTTTTCCAATATTTTATTTAACTTCTAGTTAGTTAACACACAGTGCAACATTGGTTTCAGGAGTAGAATTTGGTGATGCATCACTTACATACAACAGCCGGGGCTCATCCCAACAGATGCCCTCCTTAATGCCCATCTAGCCCATCCCCCACCCATGTCTCTCCATCAATCCTCAGTTCTCTGCATTTAAGAATCTATGAGGGGCGCCTGGGTGGCTCAGTTGGTTAAGCGTCTGACGGCTCAGGTCACGATCTGGCGGTACGTGGGTTCGAGCCCCGCGTCGGGCTCTGTGCTGGCAGATCGGAGCCTGGAGCCTGCTTTGGATTCTGTGTCTCCCTCTCTCTCTGCCTCTCCCCTGCTTGTGTTCTCTTTCTCTCTCAAAAATTAACGTTAAAAAATTTTTAATAAAGAATGAGGTTTTTTAAATTTATTTTTGGGAGAGAGCACGCGCAGAGGAGGGTATGCACGCGCTCTGCATGCACAGAGAAAGAGTGAGAGGGGATATCAAGCAGGCTCCACACTTCCAGTGCAGAGCCGGGTATCGGGTCCGATCTCCTCAACAGTGAGGTCGTGAACCTGAGCAGAGATCAAGAGTCAGAGGCTTAACCCACTGAGCCACCCAGGCGCTGCTATGAGATTTTTTTTTTTTTTAATTCAGGGGGGTTTGTACGTGGAAATGTTTGTAAAGGGGCGTGAGCCGCCTAAAAAACGTACCTCTTCAGAGTCGTTACCACTTTCTTTGAAAATGTGCGATAAGTAGAAAGTCGATGTCAGAAGGCTTAATGATGAAAATGATGGCGGTAGGTGGGATGTGTGTGCCCCACGCCAGCAGACCAGGGAGGAGGGAGAGAGCACGCATGCATTCCTTGATGTGTGTACGTTTTCTAAATCACTCAGCCGGCTGCTTTCAATGGCAACTGCCCTGAGCAAACCCCTCCAGCTCATTTCTGAGGACTCGCCAGGAAATGCTTTACTTGCTTGAACCCCAAAGTTCTTACACGCCTTCAATCACCAAGCCCTCTATCCATAGCGTCCCTTTTTCTCTCTGCCCTGACTCCCGTCTTGATATCGCTTCTCCACGGCGTACCCGTCAGCACTTCTAAATCAATACCCCATGTCCCATCTTTCCTGGGAAAGTGGCCCGGCCCCCTCCTCCTTTTTCAGGGACAGGATGAGACCCCATCGGCCCTTCACGGATTGACTTTGTGATCCTTTCGATCAACGATTAAACCCATTAGACAGTATGGATTCAACATCCATGTGATAGCAAACTTTTCACGAGAATGCTTTTCTCCCCCCTCTAGGTTGTTTTCATTCCCGTCAATGAGAACTAGACCAGTCCTTCCATATTATTCAACATGGTTTCAATCCGTTCTTCTTTATTTTGTAGGAAAACCTAGGTCTGTTTGCCGCGGACCCAACCTCTAATATCTGGAAGGCTTATGTTAAGTACATAGATGATATGTTGCTGGATGGATTTTTTCTTGCCATTGAGTGCTCCCTCAAATACCTTCTGGAAAACACCGGTATGTACTGGCTTATGGATGTGTGTTATTGCCACAAAGATAACAGTGGCACCTGTTGAACAAAAATGAAGTGTGATCGAGTGCTTTGTGACTTTTCCCAAAACGTTGTGGACGTTTTGTGAGCTACACACAGGAGAATAGCAAAGGTATTGAGTTTCTGCATTGTTCCCAGAGAAAAGATTTCTCTCTCTTTAAAACTCAGGTGATAAACCAGGCTCTCAGATAGTGAAGCCCTTAGCAAAAGCAAAACCATAAATGCCACTTCAATCCAAATAAAGCTTCAGGGGGTGCCTGGCTGGCTTAGTCGGGAAAGTGTGTGACTCTTGATCTCAGGGTTGTGGGTTCGAGTCTGGACTTGCCTCGTGGTATTGGGAGGGGGACGTTTTGTGCCTTCAAGCTTAATGTACTCTCTTTCTGTGGCCTTTCGAGAACACAGGCAGTAGCCAGGTTAAGTGGAAGAAACAGAGTGTTTCTGTGTGAAAAGGGTCAGACCAGCTGGGGATGAGGTCACTTTCAGGAGGAAAAGGAATGTTAAGAAGGGTAATGGGCATTGTCTGAAGTGGTTAAAAATCGTTTTGAATTTCTGATGGATAGAACTGAGTTAAGGTGCACAGTGTCGAGGATACAGTCAGGGCCAACTTTGGCTAGGAAGTCATGGGATGGAAAGAGTGGAAGCATTCAGGAAGAAGCTGAATTAAACCTTCACATTCTGGGACGCCTGGGTGGCTCAGTCATTTGGGTGTCCGACTCTTGATCTCAGCTCAGGTCACGATCTTGAGGTGGTGAGTTCAGGGCCCGCATTGGGCTCTACACTGGGCACGAAGCCTCCTTACAAAAACAAAACCAACCCTTCATATCCTGATAGCTTCTGAGCAGCTTAGCAAGGATCACCCTGAAGAATGAATCAAAAGGGGAAGACCGAGGGGAATAGGTTGAAGCCACAGGATAAAGGTGAGATGAGAGTTTAAGATATTAAGTCCAACCCAAGGAGAGAATCCAGAGGTCAAATGGATAGGTCAAGGGCAGTGTCCAGATACCCAGCCCAAAGAAGACGGCAGGTGCAGGCCCCTGGGCTGAGAATACAGACGGAAGCGAGGCTCGGTGCTGGGTGTAGCTCAGAGAGGCAAACCCCATGTGGTCTTGGTAAGTGGAGTGACTGAGGTCAGAGGCACAGTCTTTGTTTGCAGGGTTGCAGGAAGCTCCAAATCAAGGAGATCAGGCAGCAAGAAACAGCCTCCAGTATAGTCAGGAAGGTTGGGGTGGCGGGGTGGGGTGGGGGGCACCTTCCAGAGCCCGGGGGCGAGTAGCCAGTGGGGCACAGAGCGCAGGCACTGAGACCAGAGAACTGGCTTCTGGGGAGCAGTGCTGACAGTGCTCATCATAGAGAACCAACCAAATGTCCTCTAGAAGGTCCGGGAAGATGCCCCAACACCCTTGCCATAGGCACTGCATAAGAAATGGTCCCTAAACATAGTGACTCCACACACGACCGGTGCCCATCTAGCTCTCCCGACCTGGGCTGTCTCCCCTGCTTCCTTTATCATTTCCACTTCTTTGTGCTTAGTGAGACCAGGACCGTTCCCAGGGCTTGGGGCCGGACTCCCTGTCGCCTCTCAGAATGCAAACCCTGCCCAGGTTAGATGCTACCCACCCTACCGAGAAATGCTCTTCCCTCTCCTGAGTCCCCAAGTGACTGACCTGTACTGAGACAATCTGGTTTTTACGGTCACGACGTTGTCATTCCGTCTCATGTAGGGATTCGGTTCTCATGAGAGCGCCTGGGACAGAAATCTCACGGTCAAAACAGTCTCGTGAGTCTTTTACCTCCTGTAAACCCAACGCAACCTGGTCTATGAAGTTTTCAGTATCTCATACAGAGAGTAATGCAGAATATGTCCTGAGTACGTAATGCAAAGTGTGATGTTATAGGTGTTTTTAAAAACGATTCCATGATGGCATAATTACCGTGTATTCCCTTAAGTTAAATTTGCATTTGATGGGACCCTCCTGAATCCAGTCATGCAAATTTATCATCCCTGCAATTTTTTTTAATGTTTATTTAGTTTTGAGAGAGAGAGAGAGAGCACAAGTGGAGGAGGGGCAGAGAGAGAGGGAGACACAGAATCTGACACAGGCTCCAGGTTCCGAGCTGTCAGCACAGAGCCCCGCACAGGGCTCGAACTCACGAACTGTGTGAGATCATGACTTGAGCTGAAGTCGGACGCTCAACCGACTGAGCCACCCAGGCGCCCCTATCATCCCTACAGTTTTCAAGGCAAGGCCCTAGTCCTACTTATCTTTGAGGATCCCCCCAGTTACTTTAGTTGGGGTGAGTGGCTAAGCTATGGTAACGAGAACTCCATCAATAACGTGGCTTAAAGGACAAAAAGGTCTATCCCCCAAGTTCTAGACTCAGGTGAGCGTTCAGGTTAGCGGGTGGGTTCCTGCCATGCTGTGGTTCCCCCACGTTCGTGTTCCTGCCTTGTCTTCATTTCTGTGATGGAGCTGGGTCACTGCCACATCCGGGCTCTAGTCCGTGAGCGGAGAAAAGAGCGAGCACAGAGATGACTCCCCTGCTGTCTCAAGGGCTGCAGCCCAGAGGCGGCAGCCCTCGCTTTTCCCCACATCCCACTGGGGAGGGAATCGTGCCCACCCTGACCTCTGCTTCTAGGGAGGAAGGGGATGAGGATTCCGATGAGTCTCCACCACCCGCAGCATGCTGTGCGGAACAGTCTCCCGAATATTTCCAGTTAAGACAACCTGGGAATATAAGTGGTTATTAATAAAAGTTGAAGCGCTAATCTCGTACTTGGAACATCTTGCTCCGTGTTATATTTTGATTTAAATTTAGCAGGGCAAGTTAGTCTAGCAAGTAATCAGGGATCCATTAATTATGTATACTGTTTTTAAATTTTTTATCACCGTAGGACTACAGAATTAAAGTCAGTTCTGTTTTCGTGGAACAGGATGAACGGCCAGGGTTGTGAGTTGTCTTTCATTTTTTTGCTCACGCGACCATTGATAAGAACGCCTCGGTTCACCTACTGACAACCGATGCGGTCGCGTGGCTAGTGCCGAGGAAGAAGTCGGCCGCTTCCTAGAAATGAGCTGTGCAAAATCAACCTGTTCTCCACCGCCCCCGCCTCGCTCCCCTGACCCAGGCACCTGGGAACGTGGAAGGGGACTGGCTTGGGTTGATCAGTCACTGGGACGTGCTCTCCGAGGACGGGAGGGTAAATGTCCTACAATGCCCAGGACGGCCCTGTGCAAGAATTGGCCTATTCGAAATGTCAGTGGCTCCCCTGTCGGTAAACACTGCAAGACCGTCCCCCCTCACCTTTTCCGGGGGGTTAGCAAATTTTACATTTCCATTTTTCCTATACCCAAACAGCCTGTGTTAAGGGAAAAAAGGTTCCAAGTGCTTTGAGAACGGGTATGGCGCTTTGCCTGTCTTGACATCCTTCTTCGTTTTGTGTGTGTGTGTGTTTTCCTTGTGTTTCAGAAAGTAAAGCTGGACTCACCCCGATATTTGAGGCACAGCTGTGCTTAGTGATACCAGAATTAGTTTTCTCTCCATCCCTGGAGTCTGGAGTGAAGGGTGGCTTCTACGACACCGTCGAGGGTCTGGTGGCCAACATTTTTGGAATATCGTCTTTGGTGCCACGGCTTTCCCCACAGAACGGCTCTCTCCACTACCAGGTACCAAATTCGCAACCATCCCGCCTTCCCCCGCGACCTCGTGCAAAGTGTTGGTGTAACCCGCCTGCTGTGGTCTTGCCCCCCACCCCAGGTTGACATGGAGGGCGTGGCCCACTTGGCCAGCTTGAGGAGCACGCTCCTGGACAGGGTTCAGAGCATGATGGCCCTCTGCAGTGGCTATCGGAACACTTTCAGCCAATACTCCTACCTCTACGTGGAGGACCGGAAGGAGGTTCTGAGTCAGTTTCTGTTGTATGGACGTGTCCTCACACCCGAGGAAATGGAAGCCCACATAGACGATGGCCTTCCAGAGAACCCCCCTCTCCTCCATCAGTTCAAGGCACAGATCGACTCCTATGAAAAGCTCTACGAAGAAGTGTGCGGCCTGGAGCCCGTCAAGGTGTTTGACGGCTGGATGAAAATTGATGTGCGACCCCTTAAAGCATCTCTGCTGAACCTCATTAAGAGGTGGAGCCTCACGTTCAAGCAGCATCTCGTTGACCACGTCACTAACAGGTAAGACCGTCGTTCTAGCTTTCTTCTGGCATCCCGAGCCATTGGGGCCGCCATGTTTTTTCATCTTCTTCATCGTTTGCCCCAGTGGGTTCATTGGCTCAGTGAAAAATTGAAACGGCTCATTGAGGTTCCAGGCCCTCGGACACTGGTGGTAACGTTAGTCCTGCGCTTTCCTTGGTTCACCAGGCGTGGCCTCTTCTGGTTTTATTTTCCATCCAGGGCCCAGTGCGTGAAAGGCACTCGGTGAGTGGTAAACCACGTTCCGCGTGATGATGGCAGATCCAGGCTCCCTTTGCAGCCCTGCGAAATCTCTTCAAGCCTGGGAAACGGAGGGCATCTAATGGACCTCTTTGATTTTATTTCTACCACTCCCTCCTTGTCTCGGATCACCCCGCTTTGCAACCTGGAAGTCACTAAATCCCCACACTCCCAATGCCCGTGTGTGTGCCATTCTAGCCACGGGACAGACAGGACCTGACATTGTTCCCCGGGGCACCTTGACTATCCATCACCAGGCTCTGCCACCCAGAGCATCAGCCTCCGGGTGAACAGGTCTGTGCTCAGTCTCCTGGTCACTTCACCTTGGTCTGCTCCCCACAGATCTGCCACAGTCAGAACCTCAACTAGCACCCCCCACCCTGAGTCCTTCGGGGCAGTCGCGGTCCCTCTGTGCAGCCATCAGCCTGTGGTGCATCAGCTGCGCCTACAGGGGAGCCGACCCGCCCCCTCCCTTGATTCTGGGGGTGGTTTCGCTCAATGCTCCCGCCGCCCCGCCCGGTGATCTAGCACCGTGAGCATAAAGGAAATGACCCCACGGAGGACGTGTCTGTTTGCAAATAAATTCCAAGAGACCCTACCAGGGTGAGGGTCCTCCGCTCTAGAAAACTCCAGGAGAGCATGGTGGGATGTTGGAAGTGGGTTTGCCTGGTGCTTTTAGGAAGAGGCCAGTTGTCCACATTCACGGAGATGTCTCTGAATGTCTCTGCTCCACGATCCCTCTCCATTGGTAGGTCTGGGGATCCAAGGACATGGAGGTGTGTCTCAAAACACAGGCCTTATTATCATTCACGTGCGGTGGGGCCACCCGAGAGACTCTTTGGGCAATGACTGCCCCTGAGAAGAGAGTTGGTTCTACAACTGGATTCTCAGGACAGGATGCACCATGCCGCCCGTGCAGGGCTGCAAGGGGGAGGCGCCGGGGTCCATCAGGCAGAGGGAACAATGGGAAAACGTGGGCAAGAGCCTTTATTGTGGTTTCCCTGGAACAGAGCTGTCGAGACAGGGCCAGCGGGTGGACAGTTGGCTCTCTTGAATGAGTTGCGCAGGCTCTGGGGCCAGAGGGACTGACGGTGTCCAGGTTTTCGGTCCCTGGCCCTGGGGTGGTTAGGGCAGGTGGATAGGGGTCTGGAGTGTGAGAACCAGATAGAGGAGGTGGTTGGAGGCGTGGGCTCCGGGTGGATTGGTTTGCGTGTGGAAGGCAGGCTCAGAGGCAAGTCACTTAGCGCCTCAGAGTATGTGGTTGATACAGGATGCAGTGAAAGCACCTGCCGGGCGCCTCTCCACCAGGTGTGACTTTGCAGGGTTTGGTAGTTGGTGTGACAGGATAAACACGCGGAGTTCTTGTCCTTTGACCACTATTTCCTTAAGCCCAAAAGGAGACGATGACCCGATTCCTCTGAGGTGCCTCTTCGTATCTTACCGTGGTAAATATTTTGCATTGCCCTGCTTCTGAATAAAGTGGCTCATCTTTTTATGTTGGTTTTTTTTTTTTTTTTTTTTTTTTTTTTTTGGTGAGTTTGTGGGTTTCTCCTTCTGTGCCCATACAGAGCGCTCACCCGTTTTTTTCTTAAGTTTATTTATTTATTTTGAGAGAGAGAGAGAGGGAGGGAGTAGGGAAGGGGCAGAGAGAAAGAGGGAGACAGAATCCTAAGCAGGCTCCATGCCGTCAGCGCAGAGCCTGGTGTGGGGCTCGAACTCATGAACCATAAGATCACGACCCGAACGGAAGCCAAGAGTCGGACGCTTCAGTGACTGAGCCACCCAGGTGCCCCTTGCCCACTTTTGGTCGGAGTTTATTTTTGCCTTTATGATATTTACAAGATTTTCCTTTCGCTCTTTGGTACATACTCTCTCTAATCCTGTACGAGTTGTGTGTATCGCAAACACAGTCTCCCATTTTGTGACCTGTCTTCCCACTGCATTTATGGTATGTTTCCATGAACAGTTCGTCGTAACGTAGCCACACGTGTTCGTTCATCTTTTCCCCTCTGTTGCAGTTGGTCTCGTTAAACAAATCCTTTTTCGCCCTGAGATCCTAATGGTGCTCTCCCATACCCTCTCCATAAAAGCTTTGTAGTTTCATCTTTCACATTAAGTAGCCCCTTATCTGCCGTTGCGTTATATGACAAAATCCGAATTCCCATGGTTTTGTCATAAATCTTGGTATCTTGCAGGGCAAGTCGCCGCCTTTTTTTCGTTAAGAATTCTCCACAATTCTTGGCCCTTACTGTTCTACATAAATGTAAAATTCTGTTTGTAGAACTAAAAAAAAAAAAAAAAAAACCTGTTGGGATTTTGATTCTGTTTGCAGTGACGATAGCTCAATTTGAGGACAGTAGTCATCCATACACGCTGAGTGTCCCTGCTCAAGAATGTGTCATGTTTCTGTTAACCTATGCCTTAAATGTCTCTCGACGAAATTTTGTAATCGTTACCTTTAAGGTAATTCTCGTGTCTTTAAGATTTATTTCCAGGTATTTTAATTTTGGACTCCTAGTATAAACGATATTTTAAAATTTTATTTTCTGGGGAAATGGAATTGATTTCTGTTTATTGATGTTATATCAAGCATCTCTGCTGAATTAACTTATTAATTGCAATAATTTATCTGTGCTCTCCTTTGGATTTGCTATGTACATGGTCATCATCTACAAATTTATAATAGTTTTATTTCTTCCTTCTCTGTCTTTTTTTTTTTTTTCTAATGCATTTTATTGCTGTTTTTTTCTTGCCGCACTGGCTAGGATTTGCAGTTTGATGTTGAATAAGGTGGTAATGACAGGTACCCTTATCTTGTGTGATCTTTTTAAAAAAAAAAATTTTTTTTTAATGTTATTTTTGAGAGACAGTGTGAGCAGGGGAGGGGCAGAGAGAGAGGGAGACACAGAATCCAAAGCAGGCTCCAGGCTCTGAGCTGTCAGCACAGATCCCGACACGGGGCTCGAACCCACAAACCGTGAGATCATGACCTGAGCCGAAGTCAGACACCCGACTGACTAAGCCACCCAGGCACCCCATCTTGTCCGATCTTAAAGGCGATACTATAACATTTCACCACTAAACATAATATTTGCTGTGAGTTTTTGTGGATTCTATTTATGTAGTTAAAGAAGTTCCCTTCTTTTTGTTTTAAGTTTATTTAATATTTTTTTTAGTAATCTCTATACCCAGCGCGGGACTCGAACTCACAACCCCGAGATCAAGAGTCACATGCTCTTACAGCTGAGCCAGAGAAACCCCTAAAGAAATTCCATTCTATTCCTAATTGGTTAAGGGGATTTGACGTAATGGCTATAATATTTTGTGAACTGCTTTTTCTAACCCCGTTAAAGATGATTCTATTTTTTTCCATTGAAATGTTAAAGCGGTGAATATATTAGTTGCTAATGTTAAGCCAGCCGAGTATTACTGAGAAAAGCCCAACACAAGGTATTATCTTTTCCAATATATCCACTGCTTAATTTTGTTTGAACACATATTGGTTATTGTTGATGTGTCTCTGTGATTGACATTGGCCTTCAGTTTTCCTTTCTCACGTGTTTGCTGACCATGCTCTGTGCTTTGGCTAGTTTCATAAAATGACTTAGGAAGTAATCCTTCCTGTTTATCCTCTGGAAGAGTTAGTGTAAGATTGGAATTCTCTGATCCTTGAAGATTTGATTTAAATCTCCCTTGAACATCTGGGCTCAGTGTTTTCTTTGTGACGAGATTTGTACCTATGATTTTTCTAGTGGTAAGAGGGATGTTAAGGTTTTCCATTCCTTAGTTAAGTCATAGTTGTCTGGGTACGTACCTGCTTCATGTAAATTCTTTAAATTATTGTCCTAAAATTCATAATATTCTCTTGTCTGTTTACTCTCTGCAGAATCTATGATTATGTCCCCCTTGTCATTTCTATTCATTTCCATTTGTGCTTTTTGAATACTTTGATTAATCTTGCCAGAGATTTACAAAGAAGTATCTTATAAACTCCTTGATCCTCTCTATCACAATTTAATTTCTATTTCAGTGACTTATTCTTTTATGTTTATTATGTCTTTCTATTTCCTTGGATTTATTTTTTTCTCCTAGGCTAAGTTAAGATTGATGCTTGGCTTATTCACTTTGAGCTGTCTTTGTTAATGTAATATTTAAAGCAATGTAAAATATTTAAATGTAATTAATATAAATATTAAATGATATAATTAATTTACGAATTCCCTTCTTGGTACAATTTTATCTACATCTCACAGGTCTTCATATGTAATATTTTCATTATAATTTAGTTCTAAGTCTTTAAAAACTTTTTTTTTTAATGTTTATTTTTGAGAGACAGAGACAGAGTGTGAGTGGGGTGGGGCAGAGAGAGAGAGAAAGACACAGAATCTGAAGAGGCTCCAGGCTCCGGGCTGTCAGCACAGAGCCCGACGCGGGGCTCGAACTCACAAGCCGTGAGATCATGACCTGAGCCGAAGTCGGACGCTTAACCAACTGAGCCACCCAGGCGCCCCTAGTTCTAAGTATTTTTAATACCCGTTATGATGTGTTTATATTTAATATTTTCACACATATGGTTCTTCCAGGTATGTATATTTTTTAAGTTTTTCATTTTAACCCCAGGATGGTCCATACACGGTGTGATATTAGATTCAGGTGTCCAATATAGCAATTCAACGCTTCGTATAGTACTCAGGGCTGATCATGGTAAATGTACGCTTAGTCCCCATCACCCCTCCCACCTC